CATTAAGTAGGAAAATTATTTACCCACCTAGGAGATGGGTAAGCTATCCCTAGTCCCCACATAAATACAAAAAAAGAACATGGGGTTCTTAGTCAATGGGAACCAAAATCCCATTGACCAACTTTTCCCCTCTCAAAATCAAAAAAAAAAAGAAACGCCCCCTTAGGATATTTTGGTGAAGGAAATCTATAGTCATATGCTTGACCCAATTCACCCAACCAATACAGTTAGGGAACTATTCTGGTGTAAATTAATGTACACCCCCAAATGAAGCAACATGGGCCCTAAGACCTAAGACCCAAGTGTCACGGGGGTAGTTCTACAGCAGAAGAAACCCGTGCGGCATCCAGGCCAAGGTAGGCCAAGACAAGCCTTTGTGCACTTAGAGGCTAAGAGTTGCCCGATGGGATGGTTCCACCAAAGTCAGTAACACTGGATCATGACCTCTAGTCCAATGGCCAGGGCACTCTATTGGCTCAGACCGATCCATGGGAGGCGCCGCTTACGTGCTAAAGGGGGACGACCATAATGCAAGGCGACTATGCGCCGAAGAGGTGACTTGGCACCGATGTGAAGGGTCTCCTGTATGTCGATGATGATGGGCACCTATGTGCCATGTTGATAGGCAACCGCTTGGGCCGGAACACATCCGTGCGCTAGGAGCAATGGGATAGCTCAATCAGCTTGGGCAAGGGGCTGGCGAGGTGAACGGTCATGCTTGAGCTAGGCCCGCATGTCAAGCCTCCCTTGAGTGTCGGTAGCGCAGTGCCGGTCCAAAACTGTCCCCATGAGCATGTGTGCGCCCATGAGGAATCCTGGTAACCATGCTAGTCGTTAACCAGGGCCGCCCCGCAAGGGGATGATGGTCTAAGAGTGCCAAGGTTAGGCACCCAAGGAGGTTGACCACCCCTCCTCAAAGAGTACGTTAAGCTTTTGGTGGTCTGCCTGAAGATAACATCAATTCTCCCAAAAATCTTACAGGCGAAAATAACGATGATGTCCCTAACGTAAGCCTGCCAAGCATAGGCAAGGCTAAGCCTGTGTCAGACCGTAACACAAGGGCAGCCCATTGCATAATTCTCAGGATTCTCATTCTCAGAATCCTTTTAGAAAATGATGGATTCTTAGAATTTTCATCCTAAGAATCACTAATCTTATTTGGCATAGTCATTTGATTCCTGTTTCTTAGAAATAGAATCATGTTTGACAGTAACCAATTTCTTTGAATCAATTTTTCGATTGTTTGATAGACAAAACCATATCAATTTTAATACATATAAGTTCAAATACATATGAAAAAAGGAGAGAAGTTCACTTGTTCACATGTTTCATTTTAAAATTAGAATGATACATATGGTTAAAATTACATAACATACATAAACATCACAATATCAAATAAAATCACATTAGAATCCAAGATGACATAATATAATACTATGAACATACTTGTAGATCTTCAGTCGGAGATCGATACAGAAAATGAGCGTTGGTTAACCAAAAATTGAAACAAAGTTGAGCGTTGGTTAACCAACAACTGAAACAAGGTTGAGCGTTGGTTAATGAATCTTTATTGATCGTTGGTTGTCAACAACTGAAATAGAAACGGGACACAAGAGTTACAATCCAAACCTGTAATGAGTGGGAGATCGAAGATCTTTAGAAAAAGTGAGAATTGGAGCCGGAGATCGTGAGATTAGATGGCCTCTATAAGGAAGAAGAAGTTGGATCGTGAGATAACTAGCACAAAGAAAAGTGGAAAAAGTTGAATGTTTATCGCTTGAAACATGATCGGTGCCGGAGATCATTTGGACCATTGTAGACGATGAAGAAAAACCAAAGGGGTAGGGTTTCGGGTGAGTGTTAGAGGTTAGAGCCTTAAATGGAAATTACAAAAATACCTTGCTTTTCATGCGTGACTCTATCACACATGTTCGCTATTTACAAACTGGAAATTTTCCGATTAGTACCCTGTACTTGTGGCCTAGTGCCACTTTGGTCCCCAAACTTTAAAATGCGACAATTCAGTATCCAAACTTTTAAAACGTGACAATCTAGTATCTGCCATTAACTAGCTGTTAACCAGCCATTAAGTGGAATTTGGAAAAGACCCAAATACCCTTCGAGTGTTATCTAATTTTCTTTATCAACCATCTAAACATTGACAAAATATTAATAGTCCCAAATCTTGCCTTTTCCATTCAAGGAAGTTGGGGTCACGTTTGAGTGGGCATTTTAGTGACCCCTGGGGTCACGTTTGAGTGGGCATTCTAATGACCCCAACTTTCAAATGCCACTTAACAGCTGGTTAATAGCTAGTTAACAATAGGTATTAGATTGTCATGTTTTGAAAGTTCAGGTACTGAATTGTCGCATTTTAAAATTTGGGAACCAAAAGTATAGGGTACTAATCGGAAATTTTCCTTTTACAATAAACATGGCGAGAATTGAGAAATGCAAGCTCAGAATCCACTTTTTTTCACTCCAAAAAATATCGTTTTGGGAGGGATTTTTTCATCCCATTTTGAATGGGAAACAACAGACTGGTTTGAACCAAATGCCGTTATCATCCTAAGAATGAGCACAATTAGAAGAATCACTCCAGAGGAGTGATGCCACACAGGGCCTTAGTGTCAAGTATTTATAGCATCATAAGTGGGTGGCATATTAACAAAACAATAGTTAGTATATGATCGTCTAAATATAATGAAAAGTATTTATTACTTCCTTATAGAATAATAATTATTTTTAGGGTAAATTGCTAAAACCTCCCCTGAAGTTTGGTTATTGCGATCATCCCCCCTCGACTTTTTGACACAATTGGAAGTAGACCCTCTCTATTAGAATCCTCTAGCAAGAGGCACAAAAATGTCCATAATACCCATGTAATTACAATTGAGGCTGATTTCTATAGAAAAAACAATAAAACTTTATAAACAAAGAAAAAGGAGTTTAAAGTTGCAACTTTACCTTTGAGTGATTGATATTAAGGGCAAATTTGAAAAATAAATCAATTTTGGAAAAGAGGTTAGAGGGGTTTGAGGTAGTGATTGATATGAAGAAAAAAATTGGAAAATAAATATTTTGGTCAACAATAAACTATGTTGGTATTTTGGACATTTTCATGCCTCCCATAAGAGGATTCTAATAGAGGAAGTTTACTTGCAACTGTATTAAAAAGTTCAAGGGAGGTAATTGCAATTACCAAACTTTATGAGAAATTTTAGAAATGTTTAGAAACTTCAAGGAGGTTTCATCATTTTACCCTTATTTTTATAGAATAATAAAGTAATTATTAGAGGCATCATCAATTACACTATAAATATTATAAATTAATAAAGCTGGAGCTAAGTCAGCTAACTAATGGACACTGGTCCATTGAGCCTAACAAATAGAATTGGGATCTTCTGCCAACAAAACATGTTCCAACCCTCTACCAACATGATTTAATACCACACATCTCATAATGAGACTGGGACCAATGGACCACCATAAAAGTAGGACCCGCCATGTTTTGTTGGCAAAAGATCTGGACTCTAATATACATGGGTTGGCGCTGTAATATTTAATAAATTGGGGTTAAAGTCTAGCTAGGGATGCTCATGGTTCGGTTAACCAAACTGTGGGGCTTTTTCTTGCATCGAATCGGTTTTTGGAAAACTGGGAACCGAAACCAATCGGTTAACCATCGGTTCGGTTTGTTGGTTTTTCAATTTTTTAATTTTTGTAATATATATTTATATAATAAAATATTATAAATATATATAATTTTATATTTTAATTAATAAATAATATATCATATATTATAAATATATATATTTATATATAATGCATATTTATTAATTTATAATATATAAAAAATATTTAATATATATAATATACATAAATATATATAAAATATATAGAAATATATGTATATCGGTCGGTTCAATTAACTACCGGTTTTCTATATTGGTTAACCGAAACCAAACCGGTACCTTTGGTTTTTTAAAAACTTCAAACCAAAACTAAACCAGTCAATTCGGTTAACCGATTTTTTAGTTCAGTTTCAGTCGATTTTTCGGTCTATTCGATTTTTTTTGCTCACCCCTAAGTCTAGTATGCCCTGATCCATAGACCGAAGATATAACTCAGGCTAATTTACACAACATCGTTTAACAATTCTCCAAAACTCCAACTACAACTATTGGTTCGTGTGGTTTAGCATCTGAGGGCGTGGGTCGCATGGCAAGTCATGTGCCTTTGATGCATACGTGACTTTTCTTTTTGAAACCAAATCTGCTCCAAATTCTCCAAAACATTTCCCGTACTTATAAATTATTATTTATGGGAGATGTTCCTAATTCACGGGAATATACTTGTGAGGCGCCCATATATGAGGAGCAGATCCCGTTCCCTTTTATTTGAGACGGGATCTGCTCCTTACACTCGGACGCCTCACATGCACATCCACCGTGCATTGGAAACATCTTCCGTGAATAATAACTTAAAAGTACGGATGATGTTCCCATGGTAGAATGTGCTTGTGAGGCGCGTGTGAGGCGCCTTTTCTTTTTATTCACGCTTAAGCCCTCACGAATTCGGACCTTTTGTCTTTTCTCCCAAGATGACACTTCACACCCAGAAACCGACAATTTTGATTTGATTGTCCGATGCTTTAGCCTTTGGTTAAAGACATGGTTTTCTCTACTTTTCTCTGCTTCCCCTCTCAATACATGTTATCAATTTGGCTTTATATTACTAGGATCTGGTGAAAAACGAATCGGGTTTAAGACATTGGCTCAAAATATCTAACCCGGATCCAAATGGTCGGTGAACGGTGGTGTGGATGGGTTGGCGGGTTAATTACCAATGGCCTCATTTTAATGAGGTGTCTCAGAATTCTAAAGACCGTTGGTTCTGTAATACATGGTGGAGAAACAATTGTCTTTTTCCGGACTCGCTGAATGAACCATGAGACCTGTTTAATACGATAGCCCCTGGTCTACTAGATTTTGAGGTCACACCAACTGTCAGAGACTCAGAGTCTCAGGGAGCGTCATTTTCAATTTCAAGAATATATAATAATTTTCAGAATTTTTCATGGTCGAAGATGGCAAAATCAGCATTTTTTATTTTATTTTATTTTATTTTTTTCTGACGAGAGTTCGTAGTTTCAATTACAGCCAATCAAGCCCTTCTTTCTTTCTCTCTCCGTTTTATCTTCTTTCATGGGGGACTTCTCTGCAATCTAACGAAGTGAAGCACAACACTCTCCAACTCACATGGGAAGTGAGAACTGGCTCAACAACAATATCAGGTAAGAGTTTCTAGTTTTTTCTGTTTATTTATAGAAACTTTCAATTTTATTTTTATATATTTATTCAAATTTCAATGGAGTGAATGGTCAATCGATTTCGCCTTCTCCTTATACCCAGATTCTAGTTTCAAATCTGTAACTTTGTTTGTTGGAATTTTTGGTTTTGGATCAGAAGAATGTGTTTCCAGCCATATCCTCTAATTTGTTGAAAAAACAGAATGTCGGTTCATCTCTTTATTTGTTTTTTGGGTAAAAAGATAAAAAAGATTAATCTCATTTTTATATGAATCAGGGGTGGAATGAATAGAGCAGAGATCGATGACATAAAACGAATTGGGTCAGTTAAAGCAGCTGTTAGTTTGTATGGAGAACGATTTCTGGAGAGAAAACCTGGGCTGCAAAAAACTCAGGTGAGTTTCTCAGAGGTACGAAAAGAAGAATCCACAATGAACCCTTCACCTCTCTCTTATAATAATTTTCTCTTTCTTTGTTGAATTTACTACTGCATTGAGCTGATAATAGTTGAAAATTTTATATAATGAAGAAGCTACCATCGAGCGCAAAGGAACTACATCTGGCAAAGAGGGACATTGGTCGACTGAATGAGAGCAGAAAGGTTGCAGAGTCTGAAAAAGCCCAAGCAGAATCTGAACTTTTTAATGCGAGGAAGACTGTCAAGGATCTCACTTTGCAGATAGAACAATCAAACTCAGAGGCTAAAGCACAGAAGCAGGAGATTGAAAAGCTGAAGAAGAAGGAAAGAGGTGAAAATGGACTGCCACTGGATGTTGGAGAAGTGGATAAACATCAGTACATGGAAATGATGAGGGAATTGGAATTTGTAAAACATGAGTTGAGTAGACTTAAACTTGATATGGCTTCTGTTAAACAAGCCAAACTGAGGGCAGAAAAAGAAACTGAAGCCTCGGTTTCGAGAATGAGGTCTTATTCATGCTCTGTGGAAGCACTAAGAAAAGAGATTGAGGATGCCAATGAGGAACAAGTACTTGTTGAGCTGGCTAGGATCGAAGCAATTAAAGAACTTGAAGCCATTGAAGCTCAGAGAGTAGCCGAGGCTACTCAATTTTCCGATACAATAGAGAAAACCAGAAACAGAATCAAGGACTTTACTAAAGAACTTGACTGGGAAAAGAAACTTGAAACCCAACTGGCCATAACAAATGCAGATGTTGATGTCCTACAGAATGAACTAAAGCTAGTAAGGGCAATGGAGAGCAGGGTTAAGCAAAACGAAAATCCAGGTGATACTGAGGTTAGTGAGGGAAGGGAAGAGCAATCAGAAACTTCAATGTTGTTACAGTCAGTAACAGAAGAACAAGAAGCAGCAAAGAAAGAATTAATGTCTATCAGAGAAGAAGGATACCGGTTTATGTCCTCCATGGATGCCATAAGAGATGAAATCAAGCGTGTCTCCAAAGAATCAGCCCAATTGAAGAGTTTAGAAGATAAAGCAGACTTAACCGTTCAGAGTCTCAATTCTAAGCTACTCAAGGCTAAGTCAAAGATGGAAGCAGCATCTGCAGCCGAGGAAAAGGCAAAGGCAATTGTATCCAATTTATCAATCACGCTTCAGCAGTTAAAAACAGAAACAGATGCAGCCAAGAAAGAGAGAGAGCTAATTAGAGAAGAAACTGCTTGTGTTCAAGCAGCAATTCAGAAGACAGAATCTCAGATTGACTTGGCGGAGAACAGATTGGAAGCTGCCATGCAAGAGCTTGAGGCAGTGAAAGCATCAGAAGCAACTGCTCTTGAGAGCTTGAAAAAACTTTCTGAGAAAACCATGAGAGCTAGAGCTATGGCATCTAAGCGAAAGTCTTCAATTACCATCTCAAAATTTGAATATGAATATTTGATTGGGCGTGCAGAGGAGGCCAAAGAAGTTGCAGATAAAAAGGTGGCAGCAGCTGAGGCATGGGTTGAAGCATTAAAAGCCTCTGAGAAGGAGATATTGATTGAGACTGAAATAGCCCACAATGAATTGAAAGAGCTACAAGCAAAGCAAGAGACATCCAGAAAAGATAAGTCAATGGAAGTTGAAAGAGCAGCTGGGACTGAGCATTATGATGCAAGACAACAAAGTGAGATAAACAAAGACTTGCAGGTGGAAAAGGCATTGCGAAGAAAATCCTTGAAAGAAAATGGCAGCTCAACCCCAAGAAGAGCTAAGCCACGAAAGCCTAGTTCACCAGGAGCTTGGCATGTGGCTAGGTCAGCTTCCATCACACGTAGGAAGAGGAAGGCAATGCGAAACATGGCCAAGTTATTTAGAAGGAAAAGAACTGACAAGGATCACTTATCTGCATGCAGTAATGTATTAGAATGAGATGCAGATATGAATAGTATTGGTTTCTTCATTGGGTATGGGTACTTACCTCATTAATATGATTTACACTTTCAACTTTTTTTTTATAGATGATTTAACACTATTAACCGAGGAACCTTTTGGCAGTTAATTTCCTCCCGTTAACCTTTTCTTCTTTTGCTTTTATACTTTCTTATTAGTGCATTCCTGTCTAGAAACAAGTTTGGTTTATATATGTTCTTTTTGAATGAACGGAAAAATGTACTCAAGTGGATTGAGGGTGGTGAGGGTTCAGTAAGACAGAGTAATGAAAATTGTGTATGTTCTTGTAGGTGGGTCTGTAGGTTCAAAAATGTTCTCTCTATAGCAAGGCTCAGGGTTCATTTATATGTTATTTATTGTTTTAAGTTTTCAACTAATTGAGCATGTTAGAACTTAAGCTGCAATCTTCCGAGGATTGATTTAATAATCTGGTACTCATGCCCTCTTTACTATTTTAATTAATTATCTTATTTTTCTTTTGGGTTTTAAAGAATTAGGGTTTAACCTTGGGGAGAAAATTTGAAGTTTCCAACTAGGGTGAGGGTAGCTAGAAATAAAATTAGGAACATGATCAAATAATGAGGTGAAAAGGGATTAAAGTGCTCAAATGTTAGCATTAGTAATAGGTTAAGTAGCTGAGCTGAATGACTTGTTGCTTTGTCTTTTGAAGATGAAAAGACAAGGTAATATATGATTATGTTCAGACATCTTAGCCGTTACCATGTCAGCCCTTAATTTCGAAACCAACAACAAGTAAACATCCAAAGAATGGTAAGCTAAGAGAGCAATAAACCATATAATTGATTGGCAGTCAGAATATGAATACCATAAACTAGATTTTTTAAGCATGGGCGATATGGCCACATGGCTTAAGAAAATGAGCGTGAAAGGAAGCTTTTCATCCTCGTTGTGATGTTAGCTGTTAAATAATTCGTTTTTAATTTAAAAAGAAAGCCCATAATAAAGGCCCAAGAAAACTTTTGCTCCCTTTAAGATGGAGGGGGAGGGAATACCCCTTTCAAACATGAATAACAAAGCTACATCAATGATGAAGCTAACACTAAAGCCATGCGGAGCAGAGTAAACGGCACGACCAAAAAAAAAAGTTGCAGGTAAGAAGTGCTATACGATATTGTTTATTGTGTTTTATTATGCCACCTAGATGAAATGAGAATATTAAAATGGTGTTTCTTTTAAAAGTGAATTTCATATAATATAAGAAAATAACAAGTATAAAACAGTACAAAAGTTTGTATTTGATAAACCTATCAAACAAGGATGTAAGTATAAATGCATATGTGGTGCTGATGTTTCATTGAAACAGAATCATAACAGATACAAAACACCACAATACCGAATTAGGATCTGCTCCTCACACCCAACTCACAGCCACATTTTACTGTGTATTAGAAACATTTCCTACGAATAATAACATATAACTGATATAAAGTATTGGAGATATTTCCGATGTATGCATGACTGATACTATGTCGTGAGCTCGGTGTGAAGGAGTTCAAATCTACGCCCCACAGAATGGGAGCCCGCCACATGTCCAGATGCACGAGTTCCTCCCTGCCCGCATGTGGATGCCGTTCCGTTATCTCCAAAATGAACCTAAAAACCCCATTCTCATTATTCCCGCCCTCAACCTCAACTTGGTGCTTCCCTCCTCCCCCCCCCCCCCCAAAAAAAAAAAACTCAACTCGGCGCCTGCTGACTCCGTTCTACTCCCCTCCATCTGAGCTCGGATCTAACTCCCTCTTCGACACCGACGAATGTTGATGGGAAAATCGAGCATAAGCTATGATACGTTGATAGGTTTGTGATAGATCTTGACGAGGCCAACTGATTTGATGAGCTTGATGGTCTCAGCTGGTGGTTCAGACTGGAGCTCCTGTACACAGAAGATGTGGTTCCCCACTTCCCCATCAGATGGAAGCACCAGGGGATCATATGGAGGCTGAAGAACTTCATGCCCATTTTCTCATAAGCTCATTGATCAGATGGCAAAGAAGCAAAAGAGAGAGGTGTTGTAATAAAATTCAATAAAGAGGAAGAAAAACAGAAACCCAGGGAAAAATACGTACAAGAAGGCTTAACTGTTTTGAACAATCTTTTTTTTGGATTTCTTTTGATTGCCCAAAGCAACTGTATATATGTGCGGAAGTGTGTTAGGAGTTGGAGAGTACCTCGCGATGGTGAAATAGTTGGAGCGATTGCTGGTGCCGGAGAGGGAGTTGGATCCAAGCTCAGATGAGAGGGAGTAGAACAGGGTCAGGGAATTCTTAGACACAAGCACCGATTTGAGGTTGAGGACGGGAATAATGAGAATGGGTTTTTGAGCTCGTGTTGGAACTAATGGCCGTCCTGTTAGCCTTGCATGTGGGAAGGCGGGAACTCGTGTGTCTGGACATGTGGCGGGCTCCCATTGTGTGGGGTGTTTGTAGGATGCAGATTTGAACTCGGTGTGGATAGCACTCTGTGAAAGTGTTTTCAAAACTGGATCGGACCGAAAAAATCGGGAAGCGGAAACTAGTCTGTTTTAATTTAAAATCGCTTTTTGGCAAAAAACCGTTCATTTGGTTAATTAACTGTTGACCCAGACGGTCAAACTATCAAACCGTTAATCGGGACAATGGTTTTTGGCTTTTTTTGTTTTTTTTTATCAAAACGGGCCATCCATTCCATCCAAACAATCAAAGTATTTGACTCGGAAACCGGACCCAAAACGATTCCTTGTCTGATCCGAATTTAAAAACCTCTCTATGTGAGGAACAGATATGAACTCCACAATACCATACCCACCACAATACCAAACACCCCCAGGTTAGGCTGGAACATCTCTCAGAATGGAAAAGGATCGGATCTTCTTTTTAAAGAGACTCAAATGAACCCAAAAGACATATATCATGGTTTTCAAAACTGGACCGGAAAAACCGGGACCTGACTGGTTCCGTGTTCCTCCAAAACCGTTTTTTCTCTAAAACCATTGATTTTAGTCAATAAACCACTGAACCGACTAATTAACCATTCGAACCATTCAAACTGTTCAAACGGTTTTGACCGTTTTTCAATTTTATTAAATTTTTTTATTTTTTGTCAGACACAGACCGGCCGTTCAAGTCAAATGGTCAGACCATTCAAACTGATAATCGGACCCCTGACTGGTTCGATCACCGGTTCGTTTTTAAAAACCATGACATATATTGTGATCATTTGGCAAGTGACCGTTGGGCTAAAATTTGTCCCATATGAATGAATGATGGGCTGAGAAGTGAGAACAATATTACCCATTTTGGCCCACCACTTATTCCTACCACTCTTAGGATTCCTTAGTCGTTTCTAAAAGAAGCTTCCTTTTTCTTCCTAGCTAATATTTGCCACAAGGCAATGAGCTTCCCATAGAGCGTGTGTGTACGTAGCACTAAAAGTCCACCTAATTGTGGGTGTGACGTGTGTGCGTATGAACTACAATCTGGTGACACATGTATTTTTTCATGTTACTGGAATATATCAAGAACGATATCACCGAACATATGCAGATATGCAGGGATGCAAAAGGATCTGATCGGATTCGAATTAGGTTATATCCGAATCTGATCCGATACTGTTTGTCGGATTTGATACGATCTGAAGATTCAATCAAATTTGATAGGTCTCGATTTGAATTCGAATCGTATTGGTAAATTGGATCTTCAGATCTAATTTGATCTAACTTGTTTTTCTTTTAAATTAATAAATTATTAAAAAAATAAAAATATATAAATTTAAATAAAGAAAAACAAAAGATACAAGTATTTTTTAATTATTTTCATCATATATACATATTTTTTATAAAAAATAAATAATATGACAAATTTATAAAAATACAATATAAATAATATATATATAAATAAATAAATAACATATATATATATGCATTATATATTTATATTTATAAATAAATATATATATATATATATATATATATTATTTATATTGAATTATGATTCGATCCATTTGCACCCCTACAGATATGTTCATCTTTACAGAAGCTCTCTCTGTCTAAGCCTTCTGATATATTTCAACTTGGTGATTGGTGTTAATTGGATTTACCGAGTCATGTATGCTATCTTTAAAGTTCAAAAATCCTGGCATTTATTCTTGGTGCAATTGCATCCTAACTTTATAAATATATAACATATATCGGATCGAATAGTCTTGGATTGAATCATGATTCGATCCATTTGCACCCCTACAGGTATGTTCATCTTCACAGAAGCTCTCTGTCTAAGCCTTCTGATATATTTCAACTTAGTGATTGGTGTTAATTGGATTTATCGAGCCATGTATGCTATCCTTAAAGTTCAAAAATCCTGTCGTTTATTCTCGGTGCAATTGCATCCTCACTTTGGAAGGATTATAAATATAAATATCTACACCGTAAAATCTTGTATTATTTTGTATCTATTTGTATTTGTACTCTTTCTAGACTTTTCTAAGAGGGAAAACACTTAAACTAGTTCAGATTGGATTCAGGTTCAGGTTCAAGCCTGGGTTCATTCAGAATTTGACATATGCCCAACCTGATGTAGGCGCATGTGACAAGGCTTAGGATGGCACCACGTGGCATCGGCCGGATGCAATCTTAGCCACCCACTGCCAACCACTTCCAACTACTCCCAAGGCAAAGTCAAGTATAAAATAGGGGTGCCCCTCTCTAGGTAAGGCATTTTGCTCACTCTTACTCTTTAGCTCTCTTGCTCTCGAGCGACCTTGTCTGAGCCCTCACCTCAGACCTCATCCAATCCCTCTTATATACTTTACTAACTTGACCATTGGAATCTTCGCCCTGTGATAACACCTAGGGCTTCTGAATGTGATCTTTTACTCTTAAGCTTGATACATTGGCCTCAGCTAAGAAGGTGGATTTACTTTCTTGCCTTCAGCCCCATCCTTGGCAGCAACAACCCAACCCAACTCAAGTCGCAGCATTACTCTTTTCAGTTTTCATTGGTAATAAACCTGCTGCGAAAAGCTCCAGCTAATATGTCAAAATGGCATCAAAAGTTCAGGAGTGATCATTTAAATTAATTGTTTTTCCATCATTTCAAATGACCATATCAAATTAGGCAACTTTTGTCAATGGATCAAAGTTGAATTTGACCTCAACAATCAACTCAGTGAGGCTAACTTAATGGTCAGGTGGACCCTGGTCCTTATTAGGTACATACTATTAAGTAAATCCATGTAAATGTATATGGCTGAATAGAAATTTTAATTATATTTGGATTAACAAATTTAGATTTTGACATTAGTTTAGTTCCATGCCAAAGTCTATCTTCAAGGTTGGTCTATTATTGACCCTTAACCCCATTCAATTCATCTAATTTATACCATATTTTATTAGAAAGGGTTAAAAGAGTTTCAAAGCTATTTAATAAGAAATAAGGGATTTAATAAGGGGAGAGAAGATATTACAAGAAAGGGGGAATTAATAATGATTTTATTATAAAAGAGTAATTGTAAATTTTAATAGAGAAATTTCAGGTATAAGAGGGTCAGAGGTATGTGGTAAGAGACCTTTTTGGCCTCCACACACAACTGAACTTTGGGATAACTTTTAGATTCCAGCACTTTGGCCCTGCTTTGTTAATCCCATTAACAGAGAAGGTAAATATAGTAAAATGCCTTTAACTTATTAAAAGCTTATGATCTCTTTTTTTTTTTTCTATTGATCTGACTGTTTCATATTATTTAACTTTTCCATGAAAGATAATGGTTCACAAACCTACTGCTCTGTTAGCTTAGTTTAATTTACAAATCAACAACCAAATTATGCAACTCTTGGATATATTTCATCTTGCCTAATTTTGTTATATAGTGTCTTTTCATAAATTCTATCATATCGGCTGAGTATCCAAGAGTTGCACAAGTTCTTTGTTTCCTACGACTCATCCTTAACAATTAGGTACAAATTTGGCAAATTAAATAACAAGGGGTCGTGAGAATAGCAAATGTGGGTAAGCATTTTTACCCCTAAAAATGAGTTGATTTTGACCTAACCATTTGATCAAATGGATCATCTCGATGCTTCCACGCCAAGGTCTACTAGGAGCAGGAGGGGATGACTAGGACAGTCAAATTTAACGAGTCTTTCAAAGTTGACACGTCAAGTAATTGGACCTGCAACAAACAAAATAACAAATATAGTGTGGACGAAAGAAAGAAGACATGTGCCCCTATTTTAAGTTACTATGTTTTATCTCTCTCGTCTTTTAATATAATTTGACTCGGAATTGGAAATGGGTTCATATTGTATAGATACTTGTATGTACGTAATCAATATGGAGGCCCATTCTAAGTCAATTGTCCCCACCACAAGCTTCTTTCCACCATCCAAAAGGGTTCTTCCCCGCATTTAATACCGCCTCTAATCACGCTGAACTGAGGATAAGTCACCGGGCCCCCCATGTACCTGGACGTCCGAGGTGTTCTCTTCATCTCTTTGTCGCTCCATGTTGGCCTATGCATAGTCATTGACGGACCGGGTTAGGTGGATGACCTGCTCCAACCCGACCGTATTGGGTCAGGATCTTTTTATTAATATGGGATTGAGCATCTAAATTCTAAAAAGACGATCCCGCATCGGATTTAGGTTTCAACAACTCATAAGAAATGATTGCAGGTAGGGTTTTAAATATTAGATGATTCTCTTAATCATCTCTCTACTGTGGTGATTTGCCCATCTTTCTTCTTTCATCTGGTGCCCCGCTTTGGCCCATTGGGTTTGCCAGGGTCGTTTTCGGGTTTGATCCTAATGTTTTCATTTCCTCATACTATGAATTATGCAAATCGATGCCATCCCAGTTGACCAATTGTTGGGATTCACCATTTGTGGTTCCCACCTAACCTAAATTAATACCTTATCTTTATCTGGGGAAGAAAAATTTAGCCTCATCTCCTGAGCATGATTAAACTAGGACTCATCAGACCCTGAGTTACTGAATGTTCACCACAGCATAGGTGATAGGACCCATGGAAGTGACATTTTAACTTTTAAGCATAGAAAGCAGTTTTCAAGTGTACAAAGAAATCCAATGCCTTTGCTTCCTGTGGGTTGAACTTCCATCTGGCTAATTTGGACAACAAATTGATCTGTTCAAACGTAATTAGCATGCCACGTGTACAAAAATCATACATTTATACACGTGGCAACTCTTAAGCTTGCAGTTGGACTCGTTTATCCAGCTCGGATGGATTAAGGGGGCTACAATTAACTAATGTTATTATAAGCTGTAAAGCAAGGAGATCTTTCTACCTTTTTTTACTTATTTTATTGCTGTTTGGTCATGGTGGGTTCAAAAGAATGAAGAGGTCCACGCTCGCCCTACACCTATAGAACTCTCATTGAGATGTGCATGCTATAGGGGACAGAGATTAGGGAGCATCGCTATTATCGCTACTCTCTAGTTGTTTAATTAATATTTTAATTATCAAGGCTAATTAGGATTTCATTAGTTTAATGGAGATTGGAGAGTGGGGGTCCCTCGAAACGAAGCTCCCTTTTTCTCTCTTTCCCAATTCTCAAGTGGGGTTCACTTCTCAAGTCTGACAAACGGCTACTTATATGCTCACATGCTAATTTATCGCCTACTCCGCATTTACCCTTGCATATCTCGTGAGAAAATTAATCGAGAATCCTAGCCATCCATTGCGTCATGTTCTGATGAACCGTTAAGAAGTGGGGCCCGTGATCATGTATCTGCTCATGTTCACTCGATTGCCCAATTCCAGCCATCCGATAAATTACTCTGTTTAGTCAGGTTGGCGCAGACGTTGAGAGTTGGGAGTTGGGACCACGCAAAGAGATGGCCCCACCTAGAAAATTAACTAATCTGGTAAAGCCCTTGAACACGTGTCAGACATCTGTAATCAAAGATTAGCCACCAAAAAATGACACCTATAACTGTTATAAGAAAATAGCGCGATAATTTGATTAAAATATGACGAGAAAATAAAAAATGTGGAGTGCAAAGGAATTTTGCTGTTATAATGGGATTCTCTCGAGTCCTCGTTAACCTATTCTTCTCTTTTCTCTGTCTTCGCGGGGACCTGCTGCAGGTGGAAATCTTTACCATTTCTTCAACGGTTCTACCCTTCCCTCCTCCGTCACTGTCAGAGCGTTCACACCTTATTCTCTTGATCTCTCCACTTCTTCTTCTTCATCCTTTCAAGCTGTCTTCAGTTGCATTCATGGTTTTTTTGGGGAAGAAGGTAAGCCCTTCAGAACCCATTTTTCTTCCTGCCTTCCTTTAGCTCCAACGGTCAAGTTTTATTTTCTTATTTTCTTATTTTTTTTTTTAAATTCTTCTGGCCGAGTGATGGTTTCGGCTCTGGTGTGGTTCGTTTTTCTTCTTCTGTTCAACTCTTCTGTTCTAGTGGGTTGTTTGAATGATGAAGGTGTTGCTCTTTGGTCATTCAAACAATCCCTTCAAGACCCAGAAGGTTCTTTGAGTAACTGGAACTATTCCGATGAGAACCCGTGTTCATGGAATGGGATTACATGCAAAGAAGAAAAAGTTGTTTCTGTTAGCATACCAAAGAAGAAACTTGGTGGGTTTCTCCCTCCTGCTCTTGGATCGCTTACTGCGCTTCGGCATGTTAACCTGAGGAATAATAAGCTCTATGGGAGCTTGCCGGTTAAACTCTTCGAGGCGCAAGGCCTCCAAAGCCTTGTACTTTATGGGAATTCTTTGTCTGGGTCTATTCCTTCTGAGATTGGCAACCTCAGCTACCTTCAGACCTTGGATTTATCTCAGAATTTCTTGAATGGTTCGATACCAGCATCACTTCTTCACTGCAAGAGATTAAGGACCCTGGGTCTTAGTCAAAACAATTTGACTGGTGCTCTGCCAGATGGGTTTGGGGCTAGTCTGGTTGCTCTGGAAAAACTTGATCTTTCCTTCAATAACTTGAGCGGTTCAATTCCTGGCGACATGGGTAATTTGTCAAGCCTGAAGGAAACTGTTGATCTGTCTCACAATCACTTCACCGGTTCAATCCCGGAGAGCCTTGGTAATCTTCCTGAGAAGGTTTATATTGACCTCGCTTACAACAATCTAAGCGGGCGGATACCCCAGAATGGTGCTTTAGTGAACAGAGGACCAACGGCGTTTCTCGGCAACCCAGGACTTTGTGGGTCTCCATTGAAGAATCCGTGTCCTCGGGACACTCTTGGCGCGAGCCCTCCATCGTCGCTTCCTTATATACCTACGAATGGCTCACCTATGACACCGGACGGTGGTGATGGTAAAGGCAGAGGGCTGAGTAAGGGAGCTGTCGTTGCAATCGTGGCCGGTGATGTGGTTGGCATTTGCTTCATTGGGTTGCTCTTCTCTTACTGTTACTCGAGTGTGTGTGCTTGTAGGAAACATAGAGATGAGGACACTGGTAATTTTGAGAAGAGCTCAAAGAGGAGAAAGGAGTGTTTATGCTTTAGGAAAGATGAGTCCGAGACACTGTCGGAAAATGTTGAGCAGTACGACCTTGTGCCGTTGGATATGCAGGTGAGTTTCGATCTGGATGAGCTTCTGAAGGCATCTGCCTTTGTTCTGGGCAAGAGCGGAATAGGGATTGTCTACAAGGTTGTGCTTGAAGATGGCCTGACCTTAGCAGTGAGAAGGCTGGGCGAGGGAGGTTCTCAAAGGTTCAAGGAGTTTCAGACTGAAGTAGAAGCAATCGGGAAGTTGAGGCATCCCAACATTGTAAAGCTAAGAGCCTATTACTGGTCCATCGATGAGAAGTTGCTCATCTATGACTACATACCCAATGGCAATCTTGCTACTGCAATTCATGGTAAGCATACGAAAACTCAAAGTTCTAACAATTACTTGGGCTTACTACACGTCTTTTTTTTTTTTTAAATTTTTGGAATTTCTTCTTCCTATTCATTTGCATTCTTCCGTCTGTTGCCTGATTTGATGGTTCTATGTATTTTAATTTCATCAGGGAAGGCTGGAATGGTATCATTTACGCCTCTACCATGGTCAATTCGATTGAAAATCATGAAAGGAATAGCAAAAGGCTTGGCTTATTTGCATGAGTTTAGCCCCAAAAAGTATGTCCACGGAGATCTGAAGCCCAACAATATAATGCTTGGACATAACATGGAACCTCACATTTCTGATTTTGGACTAGGACGCCTTGCCAATATAGCCGGAGGATCCCCAACATTGCAGTCCAATCGAATGACCTCTGAGAAACAGCAGCAACAAGAAACACCATTTGAAGTTGCTTCAGTTAGTCCAACCATGAACTCCGCATCCTTTTATCAAGCACCTGAAGCCCCCAAAAGTGTCAAACCATCACAGAAGTGGGATGCTTACTCATATGGGGTGATCTTATTAGAAATGATATCTGGGAGATCACCAATAGTTCAAGTTGGTACAACAGAAATGGATCTGGTTAGATGGATTCAACTCTGTATTGAAGAAAAGAAGCCACTGTCAGATGTTGTAGACCCCTTCATGGCTCGAGAATCAGAGAAGGAAGAGGAGATGGTTGCCATGTTAAAAATTGCTCTGGCATGTGTTCAGGCCAACCCTGAGAAGAGACCTTCAATGAGGCATATCTGTGATGCTTTAGACAGATTGACTGCCTCTTCGGCTTGAGGCCCAAATTGTTGGGGCATCCTTTCATCAAACGTGAAATGCGTTCATATTCACGAGGCCATATAATGAACGAGTTCTCAGTGAGAACTTGATCCACTGTATCTGTTGTGCCATGAATGGAGTATATATGGAGAGACGGGAGTGAGAGGAAAGTTCTTTTGGTGTGGAAAGCAAGAAAGAAAATAAGAAGGAAAAACAACATTAAGTTTTCCTTGGAATTTAGTTGAACAGGGATTAAGGAGTTCTGAATCGCTGGGGGACCTCTCCTTTCTAATTACAAGAGGTCAGTAATTAGGTGAAAGCAGGTCATGGTGGTTGTTCATATATTGTGTTTTCTATTGTTTTTCGTCCCTCATGTTCTTTCCCAGTTCACCCTAGTAGCTAGTAAGGTAAATATATGGTCGATGTAATTGCTTTGATGATTGGGTTTATGAAGAGAACGTCTTATTCTTATTGTTCTATAATATGGCTTTGTTTCTTTGTTTTCTCTCCGGAATCAATTGGAGTCATGGAGTGATTATTTGTCTAATCGTCTGCTTTTTTTACGCTACTTGTTTGATCCACAAGGTATTAACAAACGCACAAGGGTTTGGTTTACAGTCAGAATCCGAATCAAAATTGGAATTGTCTATTTTCATAACCTATTTGGTTTAGACAGAAATCAGAATGGGAATTAGAATCAGCTGAAATGGTATTTCATATTCAAAGGAGTGAATGACCATTTTCTCAAATGAGGAATGCTGTTCCACCAGCAATTACCAGGAATGAAAATAAGATTCCAATTCCAAACCCCTATTACCACGTGAACCAAATGGATACTAAATATTATTTGGTTTTGTTCTTTCTATATCACATCCATTGTGGTCATCAAATTTCACCAACTGAAAACCCTAGTGAAGATAAAATAAGACTACTAGGGGTACCTGGAATTGTAATTCCCGGCATGAACACAAAAAATGTCAGGGAGGTGATTAAACCTAGTTAAGCAGTTATCTTGAGAGTTGAGAATATATGTTGATTTGATTGATTTTAGATATTTGCTGAATGAGAATTAAAAGAATGATGTAATAGACAATGTAAGCTGACAAGTGACAACCACTTCTGAAGTGGCCAAAGGCCTTTTTCTGGGGTATTGTTTAGACCTAAGCAATTAAAGCTTTCAATTAAGGCTAGCATCACTGAGGATGTGGCTAATAAAAGGAACTGATGTGGATTAGAGAAGTGATGAAATGTCTATCTTCTTTCCACGTGGCTGAAGTAGGATGATTATTTCAATTATTTCATTTTTTAATAAATGGGGCATAGAAAAAGAATCCATTAATCCAAAGGGTCCCTATCTGATGGGCGGTTTGGATAAAGTAGCGTATGTTTCCACCATATTTGCCAATATTTGAAAGTACAGAAGTAAAAGGGGGCGCTCAAAGCTGAAGAGGCCAAACAACTTTTCTCAGCTTTCCTCTAAAGAGCCCAAACCCAAAGTGTGCACTAATGATTTTACATGTCGGTGAAGTTCTGTAAATTTTAGGTGGTGTTCTGTATCGTGGTTATCCACGATATATTGTGTTTGAAAACACACTACAGCTCATTTGCATCGTTCGATTCAGTATGGTGTGGACCGGACCACAATATCTCGTAGAACAGTCCGTGTCGCAAAATCTCTTCCAGGGTAAGAATCGTGGATTATTCCACGCAACGGTGAAAAACTCTAAGAGCCATTGATTCCCTGCTTCGCATCATTATTTCATCCTAAGAAATATTATTGTTGTAATTTTTTTTTTTTTTTGAGGAAACCATTGTAGCTCTTGCTCTCCCATCTTCATTTGGATTTTTTTTTTTTATCACAGATGTTTATTTGGGATTGAATCACTATTATCTTGTGCCAATACATTGAATAGTCGGCCTGATCTGATAGAAAAAAAAGCGGTCAGTTCAAATGGTTCAATCGCCTGGGTTAGCGGTTTTCTGATCAAATCAACGTTTTTTTGGCCAAAATTCGGTTTCGGCGAAAAATGGAATCGATCACCTTATTGGTTCTCGGTTTTTCTGGTTTGACCGTTTGAACCAGACGATCGACCCGTTCTGATAGAAAAAATGAAAAAAATAAAAAAGATCAAAACCGTTGAACGGTTCAAACAAGGTTCAAAGTATCAACACATATCGGCTCATACGGGCCAATATATATTGTTCTAGGACCTCTTCGATACACCCCTATAGTGGGTGTATCAAGGGTCTGATTGGTTCAAGGGGGTGGAGGAGCCCTAAACTGGCCCCCCTGAACCGGTTTTGAAAAGAATAAAAAAAAGTAAAATCCGTATAGTGGGCATATCAGGCGTATTGATATTTTGAACCTTGACGGTTCAACTGCCTATGTCAGCGGTTTGCTGACCAAATCAATGTTTTTTTTGACCAAAATCCGGTTTTGGCAAACCGGTTCCTAGTTTTCTCGGTTCGACTGTTCAAACCAGACCGTTCTGGCAGAAAAATAAAAAAAATAAAAAACCGTCAAAACCATTGAATGGTTCAAACAGTTCAATCACCCAAGTCAGCGGTTTGCTAACCAAATCAACATTTTTTGGCCAAAATTCAGTTTTGGCGAAAAATGGAATCGGTCATCTTACCGGTTGAACCGAACGATCGACCCATTCTGACATAAAAAATAATAATAAAAAAAATGGTCAAAACCGTTGAACAATTCAAGCAAGGTTCAAAGTGTCGACACATATCGGCCGATACATATCGTTCTGGGACCTCTCTGATACGCCCCTACTGTGGGTGTATCGGGGGTCTGACCAGTTCAAGGGGTGGAGGAGCCCTAAACCGGACCCCCTTAACCGATTTTGAAAAATAATAAAAAAAGGTATCGATTCGCCCGATACGCCCCTACTGGCGTATCGAGTGTATTGATATTTTGAACCTTGACAGTTCAACCGCTTGGGTCAGCGGTTTGCTAACCAAATCAACGCTTTTTGGCCAAAATCCGGTTTTGGCAAAAAACGGAACCGGTCAGCTGACCAGTTTTTGGTTTTTCCAGTCTGACTGTTCGAACAGAACAGTCGACCCATTTTGACAGAAAAAATAAAAATTATAAAAAATGGTCAAAACTGTTGAACGGTTCAATCACCCAGGTCAGCGGTTTATTGACTAGTTCCCAGTTTTTCCGGTCCGGTTTTGAAAACCATGGAAAAGTAATAACATTTAATTGGATAAATGTATATTTTATTATTTATTATTTTACATAAATAAATAGTATTAATGCCAAATTATCAATAACTTCATAAAACAATGTTAGTAATATTATTCATAATATTTTTATTAATTAATAAGTTTTGATTTTTTTATTAATATTATTAATCATTGTTAATTATTAGTAATTAGTAATAATACTATTAATTATTATCAAATAATATAAATATTATTATTAATATTTTTAATTATTGTTAACATTATTTTATTAATATTAATAATTATTTTTTAATTATTATTATTACTAATTTTAGTTAATATTAGTATCATTATTTGTTATTAAATATTATTAATATTATTGTTAGTATTATTAATTATTATTAATATTATTTTTATTAAATATTATTTTTTTGTAATTCATTAATGTTTTTTCTATTATGTATATTACTAAAAAATAAAATATTGTGCTTTAATGATTAACGCCATAGATAATCTCACATGTTGTAGTTGATATGAATGGAATCAAATACAAGATGTGGATAGAAATGTGCCACACCTTGCAGACCCATTATGGTGTGGTATGGATCACACACATTTTTGTCCATGGTGCAGAACAACTATCATGTTGGGGTGTGGTGTGTTTTTATTCACATCACACCTGTGGTGTGGATGAAAACACACCACCCAATTTCTCATCTACGTTACAGAACACTTCCTTAGGTTTCAAATAGAATCGTCACCACAAAATGTGAAAATTTGAAAATTCATCTTAAATGTCAGGATTTTGGTTATTTATTTTCCTAAATTAATATTATTAAATATGTAGATTAATATTTTAATGCTTGGTGTGCATTCACTAAATTAAATTAAATTTGTTTAATTTAATGCTTGGTGTGCATTCACTTTCCCTAAATTAAATTTGTTTTCCCTAAATTTGGAAATGCTTGGTGTGCATTCACTTTCTTCTAAAGTTCTAACCTCGCTGCCATCTTTGGGTCCACGTTTGAAAATAAACTTGAAAAAGTGAAGGCTATACTTCCGCTTTTGTTGTACCTAAGCTTAGTAGGGTTCTTTTATGTTTTTTTTTTTAAGATATGCTTCAAGATGGTTTTGTAGTATTTACAAATTACAACAAAATCTTCTATTCAAATTCATTAACAAATAATATTATATTTAACTTAAAAATTTAAATTCAAATTGTATCTTCTAAATGAGAAAGAATTGGATTTTTTATTATATTTTGAACTTTAGGCTCAGTTCGAAAGGAATACAAATACAAATATAGAGTACAAAACCTTATATTTTATATTATTTTATATATTTGTATTGTACATATTTGCATTTATACTCTTTCCAAACTGAGCCTTAGACTCGATTTGAGAAAAGTATAAATACAAATATGTACAGGGCAAATACATGCAAAATAGTATAAAAATAGAAACGCTTTGCACTCCACATATTTGTATATGTACTCCTTCCAAACTGATATATGTATCCCTTCCAAACTGAGCCTAATAATGGTTTTATTTATTTATTTATTTATACTTTGATGTACAAGAGTGTTTCAAACTTTGTTAGCTAAGAAGATTTGAAAGAAAGCTTCTTTTCAGAAATCCAAGGAAGTTGACTTGTAAACTACTTTTTATATCAAATAGTCTACCACTCTTTACCATTTGAGAATTCTAGTTTCAAATTATGATTATTTCATAGAAAAATAGTATCTTGACTACAACAATGCTAATTTTTCGTTTATTATTATTATTATTATTATTAAAAAATTTCTGCTTTTTGATTGTGTAAAACAAATCAAGTACAGTTGCGGGTATAGGAATTCCTTATCACCACCTAACAGGAGCATGTTTGATCTAAGTTGTGTTTGGTATTAATGCCTTTTTCACAAGGTAATGTTTGTGGTTAATCGATACAAATTTATGAAAATATATTTTTCTCCAGCATAAATATTTTGAGTTGATGGATATAAATTGAAATTTCTGTAGTATCTAAAACATTAAATTTGATGTTTCCTCTATAAATGTCAATGATCATTCACATATGTGGTTAAAATGATTATATTATGTGATGTGATAAGATACATTTCTAGAAAATTAATTTATATGGTTCAACCCCAAGCACCAAGTATAAATGGCAGTGATATTTTCCTAAAAATTAAAAGAGAAAAGAAACGGAAATGGCATCAATCACAACCCTAGTCATTTAGAAACTCCATTTTGAGTTGGATCCAAAATTTCACATTACATTCCAATTTGCATAGATTTGAATCGGATAAATACATATTATGTTTTA